TTTCAAAATTTTTCAAAAAATCATGAAAACTTGTGTAATAGGGTTTTTATGGACGCTGAGCTCAATAATTAACTATTCACAAGATTACGAAGCTTTCCAAACCGTGCAATCCCACTTTTTAGGAACATTGAAAAAATGGCCGCTACTTCTTACCTGGCATAACTCTTCAATGAAGCATCATAATAAGTTGGGAACTTTACAGTTATAATCAGCAACTCTAATTAGCCTAGTGTAAAAGTTTTAAGGCTGTTTTGTTTCCTTTCTGGGGCAAAATATGGCCTTTCATTGCTTAAAACCCTCCTTGAAGTTTCTACCGTAATCCTACAGTAATGAAGAGAAATGAGTGATTCGTTCTATACTGCAAATCTAAGTTGAAGCCAGCTCTACAAAACGGTACCTGAAGCAAGGCAAAAGACTTCTTGGGAAGAGAGTTATTAACGATCAAACGTTCGATACTTACTTTTGGGACACCCTGTATATTAGGTTGGCACGAAAGTTCTGTCGCACCATTTTCAAAAAATCATAACTTCTGCTTTTCCAACCGATTTGACTGCATTTATTTTTGTATGAAAGAGTACGTCATGTCATGCTCTTTATTATGACACCTTAGACGCTTACTAGTGATTATTTGTTGCATAGATAGGAGCGATAGAAGAAAATTGGTGAAAATTTGAATTGTGTAGGGTCATAAGCAATCGGAGACTTGCAACAAAAATCGGAGCAGTCAGTACTGTAGGTTCCTTCACCAGCTCTTTCTAACAGTGCAAAGTTTGCGCCGATTGAGCGTCTCTATGAAAAGTTATGATTTCCCTGAAAAATGCCAAAATAAATAAAATTCGCCCTTTTGCATTGCTTGCTCGAAAATTGTAACTTTTCATAGGGACTCCCAATCAGCGCAAACTTTGCACAGTTGAAAAGAGCAGGTAACAGAATTTATAATGCTGACTGCTCCAATTTTTGTTGCAAGTCTCCGATTTTTTATGACCCTACACAGAAATTCGAATTTTGACCAATTTTATTCTACCGCTCCTATCTATGAAACAGATGATCATTAGCAAGCAGCTAAAATCATTACTTATAATAACGGGCTAAGGATGTTTACGTGACTTTGTGTGTGTGTGTGTGTGTGTCTGAGAGTGTGTCTGTTACGAAATTCGTAGAGCGTGTTCCAGCCAACCTCCTGGGCCCAAATTTTGCACAGCGCATGCTACCCGCATGAAAATCCAACATGCAAAAGAACGAGCAGATTCGTTGAGTGGATCCCTCAGAAACTGCGTGCCAAACGGATCCACTTTGCATTTGGGCCGCAAAATTGGGTCCGTAATTTCACTTTTTTCAGAGTCGTGGATGTTTGTGCCAAGTAAATGTGCAAGCCATGAATTTGGGCTCAAAAAAGTGATCAAAAGTCCATTACTTTACAAAAACGGAGCCAAAAATTATTGGTTACGTAAATGGTCAATTTGCCAAGGTTTTACCAGACCATTTGACGAAAATTTTGCACAAAGTTGTAGCTCACGCTGTCTGCTGTTCTTATTGCAACTGTAAAGGCCATGAGAAAATCAAAAACCTATAAAAATTTGCATTTGTTTTCCTGCAAAAAGTCTCATCCACTCGAAATCACCGATTTCCCATAAAAAAGCTTTCGGAATGAGTAGTTGTTTACATTTTGTTCGTGATAGTCGGCATCGCTCGGTGAGTTCCAATGCCATCATTATACGAGAATGAGTGATCATTATACGAGAATGAGGGCCTAGATAGCAGAGCCAGTGCGAGCCTCTGCGAAGCAGAGGTGACGCACTGGTGTCATTATAAAGAGCATGACTTACTCTTTCATATAAAAATGAAAGCATTCGCATCGATTGGAAAAATCAGAAGTTATGAATTTTTGAAAATCGTGCGACAGATCTTCCGTGCGAACCTAATATATTAGGTTGGCACGAAAGTTCTTGCGTAATTCAAACAAAATTCAATAACTTTTCAAAGACTAAACCTAAATTCACAATCTTGTATGCTAAAAATATTAGAAGCCTTACGCTTCATGATGGATGTTCAAGCATAAGATTCCGTGAGCTGGACATCAAGAACGAAGCTCTCGAATATGGGGCTTCAAATTTTGCGATTTTGAGTTTAATGCCAGAAAATCGCAGAGTGCCGCTAGCTAGCCGAAAAAAATCTGTAGAATTTACTTACACAACGAAAGTCCATGTGTTACTTTGGAAGGCTTTGATCTTGCACGGTGAAGCAAAAACAAAAAATTCGTGAAATATGTCATTTTGCGGAAAAAATCCCCTTTTGTCCGCAGTTTTCCAGCGAAAACACTTCCTTAGAATCGAGAAAACGTCGCAAGGCTCTAAATAGGCACTATGTCTAATTTCTGGTTGCAAACTGTGTTTCTGTGGAAAAATTGGAGCGATAAGGGGATTTGTCCTGTGAAATGAGAAATTTCACAAATTTTTTGTTTTCGCATTTCCATGCGAGATCAAAGCCTGCTAAAATAGCGTATGGACTTTTTTGTGTAAGTAGATTCTACAGATTTTTTTCGGCTAGCTAGCTGCCCTCTGCGATTTTCTGCCACCAATCTCAAAATCGCAAAATTTGAAGCCCCATATTTGAGAGCTTCGTTCTCGATGGCTAGCTCATGTAATGTTGTACAAGAACTTCCATCATGGAGCATAAGGCTTCTAATATTTTTAGCATACAAGATTGTGAATTTAGGTTTAGTCTTCAAAAAGTTATTGAATTTTGTTTGAATTACGCAAAAACTTTTGTGCCAAGCTAATATATTGAGTCGTTCCGAAAGTTCTTTCCGTTTCTTCAACCTATCATAAAAACACGTGGAATGGAAGTATGAAAACGCTTTAGCCACTATCCGATGCATTTTTTCTTCCTCTTTTACGGTAGGAATTTCGAGGAGGATTTTCAGGAATGGAAAGCTGTATTTTGCCTCAGAAAAAAGCCAAATAAGCCAGAAACTCTTGAACTGGGTTAAATAGTCGCTGATTCTAAATATGAAAACTGCACGTCAGTACAGTGTTTTTTTCATGACTTAGTTCAGATTTAGGGTAACAACTGATTTTCCAGTGTTTAGCAGAAATGTGAATACGCCATCAAGAAAGCTCGAAAAACTGATGGAAAGTTATGTAGTGAAATCAGAACGCCTAAAAACCTTGCTACACAATTTTTTAGATCGAAAATCCGAAAAAATCACGAAAAACAAAATTGCTCTCGATTAGCTCGAAACTTGTTCACCTAGAAAGAGTAGGTCACAAAACCCATGCCCATAGCTTTCCCGTCTCTTCTGTGACGTCTTTAGGCTTTTTTTGAGCATGCTCAAAAATTGCAAAGCTGAAGAAATTCTCTTTATTAGCTCCTAACTCTCGATCTTTTTCGTTTTAATTCATAAAAAGGTACCATTGTAGTGAGCTTAATTTTTCCTATCAAATAAAAATACTTCCAGAATTTTTCGTGACCCAGCTCGAAAAATGCCAATCTTGACTGATTTCATTCAACTGCTTCTAACTCTTGAAGTTTTTCAAAGTAATTCATGGCGGAGGAACTGCTGTAAAGAGCACGGATTCCTCTTTCGAATAGATATAATCACAACGAAATCCATCGAGTGTCAAGGAAGTTATGATTTTTTGAAAATGATGCGCAAGAACTTTCGGACTAACCTAATATATACAGGGTGTCCGTAAAGTATGTATACACTGTTTAATCGTTAATATCTTTCTTTCCAACAAGTCTTTTGCCTTGCTTCAGGTACCGTTTTGTAGAGCTGACTTCAACTTAGATTCGCATTATAGGACGAATCACCCATCTCTCTTTATTACTGTAGGAGTACGTTAGAAACTTCATAGAGGGTTTTGAGCCTTGAAAAGCCACATTTTGCCTCAGAAAGGGAACAAAACAGCCTGAAAGCTTGCACACTAGGCTAATAAGAGTTGTTGATTCTGACTGTAAGGTTCCCATCTAATTATAATGCTTCATTAGAGAGTTATGCCGGGTAAGAGGTAAGGGTCATTTTTTCAATGTTCCTAAAAAGTGCGGTTACACCGTTTAGAAAGTTTCGCAGTCTTGTAAATAGTTGAGTATTGAACTCAGCGTTCATAAAAAACCTATTACACAAGTTTTCACATTTTTTCGAAAAATTTTGAGACGGCAGATTTTTCCACATTGAAACCATATGTTTCAAGTTTCTACCGTAATGCTACAGTAATGAAGAGCGATTGGTGATTCGCTCTATACTGCAAATCTCAGTTGAAGCCAGCTTTAGAAAACGGTACCTGAAGCAAGGCAAAAGATTTGTTGGGAACAGAGATATTAACGATCAAACAGTGTATACATACTTGGACAACCTGTATATTGGGACCCGGCAGTTGTGTGCCACACATCTTGCTCAACCTGGTCGTATGCTTTATATTTGATAAATTCGATTAGTTGAACAGTAAAGGGAAAATTTTTGTACTCTACTTTCTGAAAACTCATCAAAATTATTAGAATGTTCTTCGCAAAAATTCCTATCTTTACGAACATTCTCTACAACTTTCAAACATGACGACTAAGAATAAGACTTTTCATTGTTCGCTACTACCATTTCATAAGCGGAACGATCTAATTCGAAAGAGGAACGAATCAGGGAAATTTTGCCATACATGACTGAAACAGAAGAAGCAGTCTCACATCACACCTACCCTTGTAGTCCAAAAGGGTTTTTGTTATAGTGATGTGTTAGTAGATATGACCGTCATCCTCATACTTCAGGTACATATTTCGTTTTTAGTCGGACCGCGGATCAATCCAGTATGTGCCGTTGAATAAAAGAATTATGAGAAATGAATTGAGTGCCTCTGCTGAGAAAAATGAGATCAACTGTATGCACGACGTCAGCTTATCAGTTTTGCCCGTTTGCTATCTTTCAAATGCGTCAGTGCGCTGCTGGCCTCCCTGTATGCCAAGTCAAGTTCTTACAAAGCTCTGCTTGTCACTGGCGGGCTATTCACTCAGGCGTTTGAAACAGCGCTCCAAGCATTAATATCAATAAATCTAAGTTGTCCCACCTCGCACAGCGTATTATTTTTCTTATGAAACCATTTCTTTTCATATTTTGGATCAGACACCATCATTCTAGCAAACGTTTTAGCTTTGTCAAAACCCCTGACTTTGTCGAAATTCCTGAAATTTGATAAATTGTGCATGAAAGCCGAAAAGGACTGTTAGTTTAGCTGACCGAGCATCGAATTCGTATAACGATCCTGTCCCAGTAGGTATTGATATACCATAGTAAATAGCATTTACGAACATTCTGCACTCGGTGTCACGACCATAGTGCTAAAGATGTCGTTTTTTATATTGTAAATTTTAAGTGGAGAACATGATTTGCACAAATGATTGCGAAGGTCTACTGGTTGACAAATATTTGGATGCAGAAATGCTGACCGATGAAAATTCAACTGGTTCAAAAGCCATTATTTGTGCAAGTATCTAATCCCAAGACCTCGGGTAGAGTTCACGCGATTTCATTGTGCGATTCTTTGCGACAAGACAAGTGCTACGAGTTGATTGCATTCCAATTTCATTGTGTTTCGGTTCTGATAGTTAGTCACGATTAGTCGTGCTGGAAAACTATCACAATTGATCTGCAAGAAGATCGGCATGCAATGATATTGTTAGCTTACCTTGTCGCGACAAATCGCGAAAATGAATTCACTTGAACTCTGCCCGAGGTCTTAGGCATACTTCCACGATCTCGTTAGTCGCTGCATCCCCGCGACAGTAAAAAGCATCAAGCCTGGCCCAAGCAAAATACGCTTACGACCAATCATGAAGAGCCACTACAGTCCCAGATCGCGCAGTGACTGGAGTCGCATGAGGTATGCCTAAGAAGTGAAAACAAGAGCGTAACTTACCATAGTCGTATCGAAGCGACCTCCGTATCCAGTGCAAAAGCTGCTGAACCCATTCCTTAGGTTTTCCTCCCAAGAGCTTTTTTTATCGTAATAGATATGCCAATCCTGTTCTGAACATTTGCCGGAGTGAAGCAGGGGAAGACTGGCGCAGAAGCAGGCAGGCAAGAGCTAAAAACTTTAATCATCGCCGATTTTTTAAAATTTATAGTGAATTATATCTACTTACCACGAGAATGCGGTAAAACAACATTTTTTTATATGATTACATTCTCCAAGGGCTTTTATATCGGGGAGCTCTATACGAATGAACAAATCAGCAGGTCTGTAATTGACAAAGTGCGTTTGGGACAGAATGAGTAATTTTAGTATTTGTTGTGTGGTACACTGTATCAGCGCGGATGTTTGTTACACGCTATTCGTAAAATATACGTTTTCAGAATGGTATGAATGGGAGAGGCGTTTAACTTTTTTGCCCTTCTGATTTGTTAGAAGTGTGAATAAGAATCATCACTTGTTTTCTGTATACATCTGGAAGTACATACATATGACAAAACCTTACTGAATAATTTAAATACTATTTTCAGTTTTGGTGGAATTCCACGGATAATTCTGGGAATTTTAGTGGCAAACAAATCAACGCTAAAAATGACCCTTGAGTGCGTCTAAGTGTTCTTACATATCGCGATCACGACATCTGAGAGTTTCAAGCTGCTTGGCTATTTTGATGGTTTTGAAATCTCTGCGCCGTTAATACTGTAATCATGCCTGCATTGTAACGCAGGTGGAGCGCAGCTGAATCAAGCAAGAGTGAGGATGCCCAACTGATTGCAGAATACAGAAGAGATGTTCAGTAATCGGAAGACTTCTTTAAAAAGTCATTCGTGAAATAAATGGATGGAAGGCGCCAATTTTTCTTAGGTGATACCAGCATGTAGACCCACTACGATAGGCATCAGCGGCAGTCCACATACTTTTTTCAGTTTTACGTAATGTGAGCTATTCCAAAGTTTTCAATCAAAATGATTCAGGAATTTCACAGCTCGCATTTTCTTTGACTCATTCGCAATCTTCTCGCAGAATTTCGCTTACCAGTTTTACACCTTTTCGGAGCCTTCTCGCCATGGATCCGTATCTTGGCTTTTCAGTGCGTGAAAATGGCGAAAATAAGCTTTTTTCCGAAGCTTTCCAAGTTCGCATTCAGTGAAAATACTCGGAAGTCTTCTGCTCCCCGCCTCCCTCATTCAGGGGCGTGCTTACTTACACGTATTTTCCACTGATTGCGAGATTGGAAAGCTCTGAAAGAAGCTCATTTTCGCCATTTCCATGCGCTGTAAAACCCAGGTATGGATTCCTCATGGCAAAAAGGCTGCGGAAAGGTAAAAAATTGGAAGACAAAATTCTGATGAGACACTGCTTTTGAATGGCAGCAGCACTTGCTTGCAGTGTCAAAAAAGAACCACTGCCGAACCAGAGCACAGAAAAATTCCGTTTTTTGAAGCGACGTTACGAAAGAAAATGTTTCCGTAGCGACACTGAGCACTATCAGGACTCTATCCCGCCCTCCTATCTGTGCATGGCATTTTTCTATAAGGGAGTATTTAGTAACATTGGAATGATCGATTATTGCCAAATACTCTGCACTTCTGCGAGTGTTGTGGACAAGCAGTGGTGAAATGATTCAGTGAAAAATTTTATATATTACGTTGAAATGATGTCACATTGTGTTTATCATGCAATATCGCGGCAGAATGAGCATGAAAGTAGGTAAATGGGGTACCAACCGATAGATCAAACAAGCTTGACAAAATGAAGTTCGAACCTTCGCGCCAATTCTGATTTGCTTGAAGTTTACAGCCAAATTTCATAAGGTACTAAAAATCTAAAAACCAAAAAAAATTGTATCTCTGTTCAGGAAATATCCTAGGAATCTCTAACTTGCTTATGCACGGACTCACTATATTGGACACTCGTATGCACATTTTCGTGAATTTTCCATGGCTGCAAATTGAGAAAATGAAATTTGGCATATTCTTGCCGAAGCATCCTGAGCCTTTTCTCAAATAGGTGATACTATAGTATGAACCTTTCGGAGTATAATAACTATGAACTTTCAGCTTAAAACAAATGCAAGTTTTCTAGAAGTCAACTTGTTTGCAAAAAAACTTGACATATTCGCACTTTGACTTAAATGTGTTTGTCGTACTGTAGCCACGGAAAAATACCACAAACTGTACCGATGAGTGTCTATGTGAAGAGTACATGTCTGTGCAAACTGCACATTTCTAAGACGTACCCTCGATATCATCCCATATGTCTTCCCTCAGCATGACGTGGATTACGTGGCTTGATGAGGCGCCGCCTCGCCTCGGGCTTGCGCCAAGTTGCGTGCGCATCTTCGGCGTGATGTGGCAACAAAAAGAACGTGGACAAGCCTGAGCCACGTTGTGTTGAGCGCCACGTCGCGCCAAATGATGCGCTCGCAACGTGGCGCGAGGCCGAGGCGAGGCGGCGCCTCATCAAGCCACGTAATCCACGTCATGTTGAGGGAAGACATATGGGATGATATCGAGGGTACAAAGATACGATTTTTCGGGGATTCGAAATTTTTCATTTTTTGGACTTTAAATTCAGGTGGAACGAGACTTCCGCGGATATTTGTAAACTATCTTGTAGAGCTCGCTTTGCTCTAACAAACGATACCCTATTCGATGTTTCCTGTGGTCACTCTGCTGCAATAGGATGTCATGCGACATTATTTTCGAGCTTTGGATATCACTGTAGATAGCTAGCTTCAACTTAGGCTTACAGTGAAGAAAGACTGTTCTCTCTTTCAGAGGATTACGATAGAAATTTTGAGGAAACTTTTGCGTCTTTAAGGGTCGTATTTTATCCCTAAAAAGGACTAAAGAAGCTGCAAGATCTTACACTAAGTTGATCAGGGTTGCCGATTTCGAATATAAAACTTGCACTTTGTCGCTTTTTTCATAATTTATGCCAGATATAACGTAACGACAGATGTCTGATAGTTGTCGAAAATTTGATTAGGCCACCCAAAAAGCTTTGCGAAGACGCAAGTTTAGTGAAATTAGCATGCATGAAAACGTTCACATATTTTCAGAAATTTTTAAAATTTTTTCAAAGGTCTATCTCACAATGGCGCCATGTTGCGAGTTCCAACCGTAACATCACATTAATGAAGAGAGATCGGTAATTTTCGCCATACTGTATATAGTTGTAGCCAGCACTACAAATTATTACCTAATCCTTCCCGAAAGATTCCATAATAAGAGAGATATTAACAATCAAACAATAATAAAAAATTCCTCAACAAAACGCAAGCGCAAACTTTGGTAGAGAAACAGTAGACGCAAAGATCTCAAAAATTATCACACAGTTTCCACAATCACTTCTGACTTTGCTTGGACCAGTGTTTTAGATAATCTATGAGTTATAGCTCCACACAAAAAAGTGACAAGCTTCATTAAGTTGATAGGGCATGAGATAGCTCAACTCTTAATTTGTAATCTGTGGTTTACGATTGCAGAGAGTTAGAAGGACGGCAGTACCTTCCTGTTCAAGGAATTCTTATATAATGGCTCTTTGCATGCATCACTTGTTAGATGAGTGCATAAACTCCCTTATGCCATGGAATTGATAAACATATGCTTGCCTGATCAACACAGCAAAGGCCTCTCAAGCGCGTAAAGAGTAATTTTAACCTAATGTCAATATTGGCAGCCGAGCGACATAAAGGATAGACCATATGACAGCATATAGTACTTCATGACAATATTTATGACCGATGTGTTCCTTCTTAACTGTGAATCCTAAGACCTTACCAAACAGGGGCATGTCAGCATTCGGAAGGCCTTACGCGTGTAAGGTGAGAAATAAGGCACGAAGTGGGGCTCAACTGGATAATTCTCGCTCGTAGCAAGTCGTTCATTTCACAGTTACACTTAACCCTAATACTTCGCAAATCTTCAAACTACCCGGAAAGACACAAAAACTAATTGGAACAGTACATGCAACTATTTGCCGGTATAATAGTCGCTCATTCATATGACGACTAGCTTTTGACGTCAACTTCAGCTAGTTTTCAAGTGTACTTTACGTGGTTCTTCAAGGCGTACAGTCTCTTTACAACAACGGAATGGCTGATGTTTTTCATTCGAGGCCATTTTTCTCTTCACACAAAGCTTCTGCTTGCTTCTACAGACTCCTTTCTTCTGCATTCTGGATGACTTCCGTGCATTTCCTGTGTCTTCCATTATTATTCTTAGCCTCTGAATGCTATGTCAACTATGATTTTAGTTCTTAGACCCTCCATCCATACTCTAGGAACCTTGATTTTGATATTTACAGTTCATTACGAATGGGGTATCATTTGATAGA